GATTTCCCTCAACACAGGCTACATAAGTTCACAGTCCTACCAGCTTTTTCTAAAAGCATCCTCATCACCAGTTGCGAGAATAACATATTAATCTTTGCTAAGCTGATTCTGCCCATTTGAGTATTTATTAGCCGTTTGGGTTACCATTTTTAAAAATGGTTTCTCCGTAGGTTTCCTTTGGCGTTTGCCTTGTCCCTCTTGCTTTGTAGGCATTAAAAACAAAGACGAACCGAAAAAAATATTCTATTGTAGACCTCAGGCCAAGTTATCCCCTTTATGGGAAAATTCTTTCCTTACTCCAAGACCATAAACATATTTTTCTGTTATTTCATGCCAGAAGTTTTAAGATCTTTTCCTTCCTTCCTCTCCCCCACCCCTCCCTCGCCTCATGAATTTTTGTGCCTAGTGTGAATTAGGGATTTAACTTTTTCCCCAGATGGATAGTGAATCTTCTTAAGTGCCTCACTGAACAGTTTATTCCCTACTGTCACAACATCACTCCCTGTCCTATGTCGTGTCTCCTATGAAGGGATGTTTCTGTACACTTTAGCCTGTTCCTTTCATTTTTTTTCTTATTTAGGACAGGACCAGCTTTTGTTTGTCTTATAAAGATTTTTTAAAATTGATTTTTAGAGACAGAGGAAGGGATATGGAGAGAGTGAGAGAGAAACATTGATGTGAGAGTGAAACATGGATTGTCTGCCTCCTGCACGCCCCCTCCCAGCAATGGAGTCCTCAACCCGAGCATGTGCCCTGACTGGGAATTGAACCAGCAACCTTTTGACACAGAGGACGATGCCCAACCAACTGAGCCACTCTGGCCAGGGCGGGACAGAACCAGTTTTAATTACTATAGTTTTCCCATTTGTTGGGTACCTGTAAGGCAAGTGCTTTTTTCATTCTGCTTTTTAAAAAAAATATCTGAGCTATGCTTGTATAGTCCCTTTCTCAGATATATTTTAGAATTACCTTGAAAGGCTCCGTGAAGCATTCTGTTGGGATTTGGATTGGTTGCAGTGAACTCATAATTGATTTGAGGGTTGTTTGTAAGGTGTGATTAAGAACGAAGTCTTGGGTATTGAGATTCTGTCTCTGTCATTTACCAGCGTTATGAGTGAACCCTGGGTCCTTAATCTCTGTGTTTTATCTACAGAATCGGGATGATAATTGAGCCTATCTCATAGGATTGAGTGAGATTCCAGGAGATAATACGTGCTGGGGGCTTAGCATAGGCCTCGGTGCACTTAGTATTAGCTCTCAGTAATAGCTATGATGTTTTACCCGCCACCCCCCTTGGTATAAATTGTCCAAAGTGTCCTATTTAACAAATAGTAAGTATATTACTTTGATTTCGTTAGCTTCTCAAGCTTCTTATTTTCTTTGGCTGACAGCCTTTTTAAAACGAGCAGCTTTGATTTGCCACCTCCAGTTCCTTGCTGCCCTGTCAGTTGTTGTGTAGAGAGCATTTCTTAGATTCCCGTTGGGCCTGGGACCTATTGGGAGGGAGACATAAGTTTCCTGCCTTCACGCAGAAGCAGATTCAGCAGATGCTTAGAACGCGGCGTGGTAACCGCAGTGATGGGTGGACCTGCTCCTTCTGCAGGAGGAGAGGGGGCTGGGACGTATCCGTGTGCAGAGTGGCACGTTCACAGTCATGGAGGCCGAGGGCCAAGACCAGGAGATGGGGGGGGACGCGGGGGGTGCAGGGGCCTTGAGAACCTGTGATGTGCATTTCAGCACGTGCAGGCCCAGGCCTGCTCTTGTTATCACAGGCTTGCAGGGCCTCGGCTCCCACACCTACGGGAAAGTTCATGGCCTTTCAGATGGTCCGACCCAGCAGGGATGGGAGTTGCCTCACTGCCTTTGAGTTCTCTCTTCGCTTCTGGAATCGGGGGATTTTATTTCCTTTGGAATAGTGTGTGTGTGTGTGAATTCCGTGATACTGCGTTTTCTAAGGGGCCTTTAATGGAAACAGATGATCTAAGATGCCGTGTATTTCCTACATCCCCAGTGTATACTGTGCATGAAGAACGGATGACATGCTATGTTTGTCTTTCTCCTAGAACGCCCCGTCGCCGATAACGAGCGGATGTTCGACGTCCTGCAGAGGTTTGGGAGTCAGAGGAGCGAAGTGCGTTTCTTCCTGCGGCACGAGCGCCCCCCTGGCAGGGACTTCGGTGGGTAGATCCTGTGAGCAGGCCCAGGGTTCGGGCTGTGTTTTTATGCGTTGGGGTGGAACCGGGCAGTTTGAGGGGAGAGCGAGAGGTGAGTGCGAACCGTGGGGAGAGGCCACGCTTCTAAGATCTGCCTGTCGGGGAGGAGACACGGGGATGGTCTTGCTTGTTCTGTTTGGTTTGAAGAAGAGAAGTTTTTTGTTTTTTAAGATTTTTGAATTGATTTTCAGAGAGAGAGGAGGGGAAAGAGAGAGAGAAACATCGATGCAAGAGTGAAACCTCGATTTGCTGCCCCTGCACGCCCCTTACTGGGGATTGAGCCTGGAACCTGGGCATGTGCCCTGACCGGGAATGGAATTAGCAACCTTTCGGTGCATGGGATGGCGTCCACCCAACTGAGCCACACCAGCCAGGGCGCAGACGGGAGACGCTTTATGGTAGTTTTCAATGCGGGAGGGGAGGCGGTTGCAGTATGTGAAAGGGGGTGCTGAGGGGGCGTCCTCAGCCCTGGCAGAGAGTCTCGTGGGCAGAGGAGGGAGCCTCTTCCATGGTGACAGGACAAGAAGGAACAGCGCAGTGCGAGTAAATGTGTGCGCCTGTGAGCAAGTCGGGGAACTTGTCACCGGAACACGCTTTCTCAGGCGGAGAAGGCAGGCCTCTGAAGGTGAGGATGGACGTGAAGAATAGGAGAGAGCCCCAGGGGAGCAGGTTGACGGGCTCCATGGAGGCCACGAGGCCACCCGTGACGTTCTCCAGCCTGGGGGTCATAAGGGAAAAGGTTGAATTGACCCCAGCCTGGGGCGATGCCAGACCAATTCGGTGGACGGTCAGGGACAGGGACAGGGACGAAGAGCATACTGGCAAGATGACATCTAAGCGGGGTGGGGAGGAAGTGAGGACGGGAAGGGCGACCAGGGTTTAGAGGTGACAGGTCTCAGGTCGGGCAGGGTGAGTGAGGAACGTGTGGTCACAAGCAGAGCGCTGGGAGGTGACATCCGGGGTGGAGCTCCTCTAGGTGGCGAGGGTCCAGGTTGGTCATGAAAGGAGCCTGGGTTGGGGTGGGGATGAGGAAGCCCAGGGCCGAGAGCCTGGCTTGTGGAGGGGACGGTCATGCAGGAGGCAGGCAGGCCCCGTGGGGAGAACACGGGAGTCAGATGCTCGCCTCGTGATGCGGGCTGTGACCAGGGTGTGTAGGTGATGGTGAGGAGAGGGCAGGAGGCGGTCATGACGGTGGAGAGACGGCAGGCTGGACGCGTCCCCGCCCTCCGGGCAGGTCTCGGAGGCTGTGGGAGGGTGAGCAGCTCAAGGCAGGCCCGTGGGCAGCTCTGTTTTCCGTGGGAAGGCCCCGTGGGGGCGGAGCACTAGGTCTTTCTAAGACTTGGCATTTCACAATGGGAAGCTGAGGGTTAGTGACTTCCGTACATAATTCTTGGGAGTAAGAATGTAGGTAACATGTTCGTCACTGGATGTCATGCAGTCTCGATTTTATCGCTTTAATGCAGATATCCGTAAGGTACCCAACAATGAGAAGTTATCAAGTGTAGACCGTGGAGGAGCTCAAAATTGACTTGTCTGGCCTCTTCCACTCTGCGGTTGAGAAGGCTGATACTTTGGGGTTCAGTGACTTGTCAGAGGCCACACACCCAGAGGCGAGCCAGGAGTGGGGCTCGAGTCACCTCTGCCAGGCCGGCTGGCATGCCTGGCAGTGTGACTGGTGCACGTGGCTCTAATTTAAATGAGCACGTATTTTCTCCCTAAGCGTTCTTCTTCTGTAGCTTTAAACTGGCACCTGCATCTCGTTTTTATTTTGTTCTTTGTTTACATTGCTGCACACACCCTCTTGTAAGAAAGGAGTTGGACTTTACCCACTCACCTGCCAGTTCAAATGTCTGCCCGTGTCGTCCTGGCTGAATTATTAAACGGCCTTGCGATAGTGTGATGTGCAGTGTCGGTGTGTCTGTAACATGAGAGTAGGATCAGAAGGGGTAGGAGCTGTTTCACGTTGTCACAAACTCCAGTGCCACATGGTGTCTGACTTGGGGTAGAGCAGGGCTGCTTATCCGTGTCCTTCTTAGTGAGGTTATGGATTAGGAGGCTGTCACCATGGTCTTCTTCCAGTTTCACCGGACCTGGGACCCAGAATGGACGGAACTATTTTTAAAGCTCTCTGCCTCGCACTCTTAACTGTGGAACTGCACGGCCAGGAAGGGACTGGTGGGGGCTGCCTGTGAGGCAGCGAAGACAGCAGTCATTCCTAAACGGGAGGTTTATTTTTCTTGCAGAAATAGTGTGGCCGGTTCCTGGAGCTATTTTCTCAGAGAATTGAAAAGTGTTTTAAAAATAAAGCTAACACAGTCCAAGCCCATTTGGCTCAGTGGATAGAGTGTCAGCCTGCGGACTGAAGGGTCCCGGGTTCGATTCCAGTCAAGGCCACATGCCCGAGTTGCAGGCTCGTTCCCCAGTGGGGGGCGTGCAGGAGGCAGCCAATCAGTGGTTCTCTCTCATCATTGATATTTCTATCTCTCCCCCTTCCTTCCTCTATGAAATCAATAAAAATATGTTACAAATAAGTAAATAAATAAAGCTAGCACATTAGGGCTAGGGATGATGTGACCCTGGGGTCTGAGGATATCGTATTACTGGCATGGGAATTTGTGGTAAGCTTTAGGCAGATTCAGTAGACATTTGTTTCAAACGAAATTTTACTCTAAAATTTCTTGATAATTTAATAATCTTTCTAATTTCTAGAAGTATAAATATTAGCTTAATTTCACTTATTTAAAAAATTCTCTTTGTTGATATTATCTGTTTCTTACGATGTATCTGTTTAAATTAAGTCTTTTCCCTTATGATGCATTAAAAGTGATGCTGAGAGACCCATATATTTTGGCTTAAAAACATTTGTTTTAGCCAAAACAGAATACAGTGTTTTCCAGTTAGTACTTTCCCAAACTAAGAAAATGCAAGATTTTTACTTAAATAAATGAGAAGTACTCCATAGTACTTAAGAATTACCACAGAATGCCCTCAAATAAGCCAAATATTCAAAATACCACTTGTATTTTCAATTGCTTCCTTCCATGTATGTTACAAAACAGCCTCTGTCCGTGGACAAGAAACCAAGAAAATGCAAGGTTTTTACTTAAATAAATGGGAAGTACTTCATAGTACTTAAGAATTACCACAAAATGCCCTCAAATAAGCCAAATATTCAAAATACCATATTAGCTTAATTTCACTTATTTAAAAAATTCTCTTTGTTGATATTATCTGTTTCTTACGATGTATCTGTTTAAATTAAGTCTATTTTCCCTTATGATGCATAAAGTGATGCTGAGAGACCCATATATTTTGGCTTAAAAACATTTGTTTTAGCCAAAACAGAATACAGTGTTTTCCAGTTAGTACTTTCCCAAACTAAGAAAATGCAAGATTTTTACTTAAATAAATGAGAAGTACTCCATAGTACTTAAGAATTACCACAGAATGCCCTCAAATAAGCCAAATATTCAAAATACCACTTGTATTTTCAATTGCTTCCTTCCCATGTATGTTACAAAACAGCCTCAGTGAGCACAGGACGGATTGATTTAATGCTCACTTAATTCTTTCAATGAAACTGTTTCTGATTTCACTCCTGAGGAGCTAAATGGAGAACTAGGGGGAGCTACTCTGAGCGAATGGTGTGATTCACCCATAATGAGAAGTACATTTATTTTGTAACATTTCCCCCTCTTCTGGTCTGAATCATGCAGCTTTCCTAGGGAAGAGTTAGCAAGGGGCGTTTAGTAAAGTTCACTGTTCACTGTTCCGAGATCGGCTTCCCAAAACAGGCTGAATTCGAGACCTCAGTGCCGTCGCTATTAGAAAAGATTGTGTTTGGTTTCCTTTCAACTTAAAATATCAAAGGGCAGCGGTCACAGAACTAAGAAACGGACTGGCACTTGGAGTATCTGCAACCCTGATTTAATGCTTAGTTTTGGATTTTGTGCTCAGTGAGTGGACCACGGCCTCAGGACCCAGCTTTGAAGAGAAATGGCGTGAAAGTTCCTGGGGACCATCGGAGGAAGGAGAACGGGGTGAGTACCTGTCCCTCCTGCTAAGCAGTCCCGCAGCACTGCTGCCTTTAAACCTTTAAAGCTCACTCGTCGTTACTTGGTTATTCAGTGGGTTATTAAGAATGGCCCCTTTTCAAAGGTTATTTTATATTGATCTCATAGAAACAGTTAATTTTCATGCTCTCTCCATGCTGACTATTGAAAGAAGCTAGACGCTGAATATACAGTTCAGAACAAAACATGTAGAGCACATGTGTGAGGAAGTATTTGTTTGGGGGTGATTGTGTTTGTTGCTGTCATGTTTCTAGAAAAATGGGAAGTTATTTACCAGCGCCTTTGCTCTTGCATATGAATGTCAGCAGCATCTTTGGGGTGCCCTCACACGTCTTCTTTATGGAGCACAGGATTCCTGATGCTGTGGGGATTGGCTAGACGGCCTTCTCCCACCTGCAGTGACCTCATGTTAGGGTCCAGGTCATCTGAAGTGGCATTTGCTCCTGCTCCATCTTTTCCCAGGTCTGGCTGCGAACGGCTGACATGGAGGACAAGGAGGGTCTTAAGCGTTAACAGGATTTGGGTGCTTCTTGACAATATGTATCTTTTCCCTTCACTGGGTATTTTTTGTAAAAAGACAGCTTTATTGATTTATAATCAACATGTGTGACATACTGCACACACCTCTGAAACTGTCACCAACAGCTTTATTGATGTATAATCAACATGCAGTAAACTACACATTTCAGATACACATTTGAGAATGTCTGACATACTGCACACACCTCTGAAACTGTCACCATAGCCACGGTCATGAAAATCCCCGTCACCCCAAGTCCCCTTGTGTCCTCTCCTCACCCTCAAGGAACCACCAGTGGGTCCACTTTCTGTCTCTACAAGTTAGATGTGTTTACCAGAATCTTCTCCAGCATGTACTCTTTTTGTCTGAGTTCTCTCGGCATAATTATTTGAGAGTCATCCTTCTGTTGTGTCTACCAGTAGTTAATTCCTTTCGTTGCCGAGAGGGGTTGCAGTGCCTGGATGTACCACAGCTGGTTTATGCATTCACCTGCTGGTAGACATTTGCGTTGTTTCCAGTTTTGGCTGTTCCACGTCAAGCTGCTGGGAGCATTTGGTACAAGTCTTTGTGTGGACAAGCGCTTTTATTTTTCTTGAGTAAATACTGGAGTGGAATGACTGGATGAAATGGTTGGTGCATGTTAACTTTTTAAGAAGCTGCCAAACTTTTCCAAAGCTATTGCTTTATTTTTCACATCCTCACCAACATCTGGCATGGTCAGTCTTTTTAATGTTGGCTAACAGGTGTGAGCTGGTATTACATTGGGGTTTTAATTTGTATTTCTGTAATGGCTAATAGTGTTGGCTATATTTTCATGTGTTTGCCATTTGTATCTTCTTTGGTGAAGTATTTGTTCAACTCTTTGCTCATATTTTTTTCTTTTCTTTTTTTGCTCATTTTTTAAATTGGGTTATTTATTTTCTAATTGAATTGGAGAGTTCTTTATATATTTTGCACCCAAGTCTTTGATTAGAAATAAGATTTGAAAATATTTTTTCCAGTCTGTGACTTGTTCTTAATTTTGGTTTTGTCGTTTTAGGTTTTATATTTAGGTTTATAATCCATTTTGAATTAGCATTTCCATGTGGTGTGAGAATTCACGTTTTCTTTTTGGCATATGGGTATCCGGTTGTACAATCTGTATTTGTTGAAAAGACTATTCTTTCTCCACTCAGTTGCCCCTGCACCTTTGTCTAAAATCCATTGCCCCACGTGTGTGGGTCTGTTTTGTGCTCTTTTCTTCCATTGGTCTGTTTATCTTGGCATCAGTACCACACTGGTCTGGTTACCCAAACATTGTAAGCCTTAAGTCAGGCAGCCTTGTCAAGGCTGTTTTGGCTATTCTAGATCTTTTGTATTTTCACATGGAAATTTAGAATTCTCTCGTCAGTTTATACCAAAAGCCTGCGGGAATATTGGTTGGGAGTCCATTGACTCTGTAGGTTAGTGTGGGAAGAATTGCCATCTTGACAGTGTTGAGCTTTTCATTCATGAGCACCAGGCTCTGTCTCCTGTTTGTTGGGGTCTTCTTTCTCTCAGCAGTGTTTTGAGGTTTTCAGTATATAGGTCTTGCATATCTCCTGTTAAATTTATTCCTAAGTACTTGCTATTTTGTATGCCATTATAACCAGGATTTAACCCATTGCACGCCATAAGCGCCGGACCTTCCCCACACGCCACGCACGTCTATAAAAAAATGTTTTCCCTAAGTGGCAGCCCTGACCAACTTTAAAACCATTTTTCGTGAGAATTTTCAGCTGAAAATATTCAAGAACACCCTAATTGTGAATAATAGACTTATTTTTATAATACTCACTGCAAATTGATTTTTTTTTATTAAGTTCAAAATATTGTGACATGTGGGTTGGTTTTTGTTTTGGACATGGCAGTTAAGTGGTTAAAAAAATTTTCAATTTCTGGTTTTCCTGATATATAGAAAGATGATTGATTTTTGGCATATTGATTTTTTTATCTTGCCATCTTGCTAAGTAACTTATTGTTCTGATAGTTTTCTTACAGATTCCGTATGATTTTCTTTATAGCTGATTATGTCTATAAGTTAATGACAGCTTAACTCCTTCCTCCCCAGTCTGGATACAGTTTATTTCTCTTTCTTGTTCTATTGCACTGGCTAGAACTTCTAGGGCCATGTTGAGTAGATGTTTTGGGAGTAGATATCTTGCCTTTTGTTCCTGATGATCCAGTGTATCTTGACATTTTTTAATGCCAGTGTCATATTTTTTGATGGTGGTCCTGATGACTGTATTTTAGGTTTGCCGCCAATGCCCCACCACCACGTTTAACATGATCAAACACTACTTTCTGATATAAATTAACTACAGAACAGGGTTTTTCTAAATTGTTCCACTTATGTTACTGATTACTGAAACGATTTAAGTTTAAATAGTTTTAAAATAAAATATTTTATTTTATTTAAAATAAAAGTGTTGGTCTGTATGTTAGTATGTTTTATACCTTAACTTAGTAATAAGTCAACGGGGGGAGGTGTTAATGTAGAAAATCAATGGTCTCTTTAATATCATGGAAGGAAAATGGCTGGATAAAGGTGCCTGATTGGCTCAGGTGAGGCTTATCAATAGCACAGCTAGACCTCCGTGCACAGTCTCTGCGCTCACCCATGTGCCTGGCTTGTTGTTTTCTCTCTTAGGTTAATAGTCCTAGGATGGATCTGACCCTCGCTGAGCTCCAGGAAATGGCGTCTCGTCAGCAGCAGCAGATAGAGGCCCAGCAGCAGATGCTGGCGACGAAGGTAACGTCTTGTGTGAAGAGCCTGACAGGCCGCCATGCCGGTGTGCGCGCCGGGCGGTTGACAGTGCGCCCTCACTGTAACGCCAGCCACCTCACAGACAGGACGTGCGCTCTGAACCCAGGTCACCTGCTGGGCGGCGCCTTCTCCTCCTCACTCCAGCCTTTGGTGGAGACCCCTGATCATCCCATTGCTCGGGATCTTCCTGCCCGATTCTGATGAAATAACACGCTGTGTCGATGTCTGTGGGAGAGGGCGGTGGTGGGAACCTTGAACGTGGCAGCGGGAGCTGTGGGCTAAGTTTGCCCTCAGTCGTGGCTTCAAAGAGGAATGTCCCATCTAAGGATGCTAACGCTGCCCCTCCCATGCCCAGAACAGGCTGCTTGCCTTTCCTTTGGGGTCGTTCTCCACCCACAAGCCAATCCCAGTCCTGGTCTGACCGAGGGAGCCAGCAGATGCCTGCCCATGACTGTCACACTGGCTCCCTGCTGGCTCTCCTGCCAGCCCGGCCTCCAGGCTGCAGCAGGTGGCAGCCGACGCTGGGAAGGGCTCTCGAGGAACCACGTTAGCCTCCGCAGGTCACGCTGTCTCGGTCTGCAGTTGTAGCAAGAAGCAGCCATAGGCAGCCGAGGGGTGGCTGTGTCCCAGGGAAACTGCAGGCGGGACTGGCCGGGGGCTGTGGTCTGCCCGCCCCCGGCCTAAACTCCCGGGATCCGCAGCTGGCCCGCCCCTCAGTGACCAAGTTCCCTGCAGCGGGGCCGGCAGTGGCGTCTTGACAGCAAGTCATGTGACGGCCAGGATTCTGGAAGGCAGCGCTCACCACACCCAGCCTCCGCGGGATTCCCCTGGGCTTCCTCCCCAGGCGGACCCCACTTTCTCAGAGTCATGCGGCTCATGCTCCTCACACTTCAATACGCACGTGCCTCATCCGGGCCTCTTGCGAAAAACACAGGCTCTGATTCAGTAGGTCTGGGTTGGGTCTGAAATTTTGTTTCACAAGCTCCTAGGTGACGCTGTGAGGGTATCATTCCTTGAGTAGTAAAGACATAAATTAAATAAGAAGGTTAACCGAAGAAACCTCTCGTCTTACTTTGAAACGATTTCTGTGTGACTTACATGTTTTAGGCATTTTGTGACGTTTACCCTTCATTATAGATTGTGTAGCTCTATCAGTTTCCTTGAAGTATTGAATATTATAGAAATAAGATGTAAAGCTGCACAATGCAGTTTCCTACACGGGGTAGGTAGTGTATTTCTCGAGTGTATTAAGGATGTAAGGTACAAAGGGTTACATTTCACGTTTCATGTGATCCTCACGGGGCCCCGCGAGGTAGTTACTGATCATCTCACGGATGAAGAAACAGACTTGTGTACGCGGTGAGCTTATGTGAGTGGCCGCGGTCTCATAGCTAAAGAGTGACGAGTTCGGGTCTGAACCCGAATTTGACTCCCCAGCTTATCACTTAGCAGCTTCCCTAGACGGCCCCCCTTCAGGAGCTCCCTCTTACATGGTAGCTGTGGTGCGTGAACATGGGTTCGAGGCTCCCTGCTTGCTGGGAGAACCACTCGGATTAGGAATCCTGCTTTTTGGATCTTACCCCCAAGGGATTCTGGGGGTGGGCCCCGCTGGCCTGATGGCGTGCACAGGGCAGAGCAGTGCGCTGGTGCGCCTCGGCCCGGTGTCTCGGGGTTCTGGTGAGATTATTGGGGGGTTGGTGGGATCCCTGCTGACAGTGACACGGCCTGCTGGTGGCGTTCGCCTTTAGGAGCAGCGCTTGAAGTTTCTGAAGCAGCAGGATCAGCGGCAGCAGCAGCAGGCTGCCGAGCAGGAGAAGCTCCGGAGGCTGAAGGAGATCGCCGAGAGCCAGGAAGCGAAGCTGAAGAAAGTGAGAGCGCTCAAAGGCCACGTGGAGCAGAAGAGACTGAGCAACGGGAGGCTGGGTGAGTGGCCCGTCAGGTATCTCAGCTCCAAAGGCTGCACGTTGCACACGTCGGGGTAGGGAG